AGCAAAGACCTTTGAAATGTGTGCCATAATTCACCTCTCATGAAATTACGCCGGAAAAACATTGATCGAACGCTATTTTCTAGGACTGATAATTTCTTGAACGATCGCTCACAATATTTGTCTGTGAACACTTTTAGTTAACAACTAAATCCCGTTCATTCTGGCGTACCCCAAGGTTTGGTACTCAGTCCGATCCTGTTTTTATTTATAATAAAGACTTACCCGAGTGTATTCCATGTGACAATAATTTTTTATTTGCTGATGATTGTGTGATTTATTGAGAAATCTCTGACCCAAACGACCTAACAATTCTTCAGAATGACTTTAACTCTGAATCTAACAGGTGTAAAATCTTGCTAATGGAACAAAGCACTACTAAATGTAAGTTCTTACGCGTTTCTCGCACATCTTCTTTCTCCACTACTTATCTGCTTGACAACTCCGCTCGTGAACACGTAGCATTATATTGCTACCTAGCTGTTCACATAACTAACTCGGCGAACCTGGTGTGTTCACAATAACAAAATCATTAGTAATGCTAACCGTTCGTTAGGTTATTTCCAACGCAACTATTCTCTGTCCCTGTGCCCTTAAAACTCTTCTTTTACAAAACTTTATACAAAGTAAACAAAAATATGTCGCATCCATTTTGGACCCGTCTACTAGTGTACTAACCTCTACTCTTGGGCTCGTTCAAAATAATTCTGTCCGTCTTGTCTTTGGCAACTACAGTTGCACCGCAAGTCTCGATTCAATGAGAGACTCCTCAGAGCTTCCATCACTCGCCTGTCGCCGTGAAGCCTCCCGCATGTCTTTTTCACAAACGGTACTATAGTCACACCCTGCATGATAACCTCCTTACCCCTTCATCATATATCTCCCCTTGTTCTGACCATCCCCAAAAGGCCAAAAGGAGGAGATCTTGCGATGTTCAACTCGCACATGTTATGAGTCATCATTCCCCAAACCTCGCAAGACGGGAACAATCTTACAGGATCAATCAGGTCTATTGCCCATCATTCTCATTTTCAAGACGTTTTAAACTCAAGTATACTGTTATGCGACTAACCAATTATGTGATTCTTCTCTTGGCACACTGTCTGATTCTTGTTTGGTCAGTCAAAACTGCTAATGCTACTTGTTTTACTATGTTTACATGCTTTATCATCAACAAGCTTATTCTCGCTTGAATAGTTACAGCTTGTACCGTTAGAGTTTAGCTAACATTGTATCTACAGAACGAATTTTGTATTGTGTTTCTTTTAAATGTACCACTCCCCTCTATAGTGCTTCTGGCCTAGAGGGTAATTTGAAATAAATTAATCAATAAATGCTTCAGATATTGGTGGTCTAAATATCAAGAACGCTCCACTATGACATCATTCATATGGCGGTTTTAGGAGGTTAAACCCCACATATCAGTCAATCAATCAATTGAAAATAGCTATTTTAGAAGGGTGCCTATCCCGAAATAAATGTGGTGCCCCCCACCCTTCGCAAAAAATTTCTCGCAGCGTACTTGGCTGAAACAACCTGCGAATCGTGTCATCACAGAGAAAAACGTGTGTGAACGATGATTGCTCCTTAAACCCAAAAGGTGTAGGTTTGCCGTGGTGGGCTGCAGGTAAAGAACGTAAGGCGGTGATGTGGCGTCGGAACATCGTAGTCCTAGGTGGCAGTGCTATGAGAAATTCACCTGGGAGAGAAAGTGGCTCCCGTTATACGACCTCTGCTGGGGTAGTGTAGATGTCTTGCTTGAAGGCGGTGCGGAGACCGAGGATGACAGCTGGGATGACCTCAAGCCAGGTTGAGTCTGGGGGAACTGTCGGTGGAAACGTTCGACCATTCCGCTTGCACAGAGATGGTAGCTGGTGCTCCTCAAGCGTTCAGGCTAGTGACGACGTAATCGTAGTGGGATTCGTTCGTGTGTTATGCCTGCCAAGAAAAGCAAGGCCTCAACCTCGGTGAGCCATACTTCGGGTGGTTCGACCAAGTGTGGCGGCAGCTTGACAGTGACATGGCAGACGTACAGGTCGGCAACAGTTGTGGTAGCAGCAGCACCTGTGTTGACCACGACCGGTTCAGCAGAGCTTTGGGGAGTGTGGCCCATGCCGGGTGCAGCGGAATCATCGGACAGCTGTAGTTCAGTGGTTACGGGCTGCTTCTAAAGTACCTGTAGCTCAGCCTGCAGTTTCTGCGCCACTTGATTGATATTTTGGGTTTAACATACCAAACCACCATATGACTATGAGAGATGCCATAGTGGAGGGCTCCAGAAATTTCGACCACCTGGGGTTCTTTAACGTGCACCCCAATCTGAGTTTCTGGGCAAGTTGTACTTGCTGGCGCAGAGTGGAGAGGGCTTCTGAGTCTGCCATGGCGGTGCGGTTAGATAGGTTTCCGCAATACGAGATGTAGGATGCTGCCTCGACGAAAGGACGCATCCCTACATGAAATATACTATCAGCACGGTAACAGCAGCGTGGTGAATATGTCAGCGCTGCGCTCGAACGGTCAGAGACTAACGATTATCTTACAAGCTTGGCACCTTGGGTTCATAGCCACAGGTGCTGATGTCACCCTTCGGTGACGGTGTAGTGGTGTCGTCACTCACTAGACGTGCGTTGCAGCATGCGGCCCAGTCACACAGGCTGCGCCAGTTCATGCGCAGTGTGTCGCCACAATCAACTGAGTTGGGACAAAGTGATGCTTCATTGCAAGAGGAATGAGGTTATTATAAGGGATATAAATAGTATGAGCGCTAGTAATATGAGTATTTTAGAATCAGTGCAGCAGCTTATAATAAAAAAAACTACAGGTGTTAGTTTGTCATTTGCATGAAAAGTGGTAAACCACTAATCAGGCTAGGACGCATAAAACACTGGCGGGTAAAATGTTGGTACCCGTCCCCATCAAGCAGTCCCGAACAGCCACTGCCGCATGATTATTAACAGCTTTGTGTGAAAATGCTGTTTGTGAAAGAACTCATCTTAGTGAAGCAAAAATGCGAATTTGTTGAAAAAAAAATCAGAAAAATACGGCTCCCTTTTCTAACAAGCACTCTCATTCATGAAAACAATTATAAAGAAATTAAGTTAGAGTACGTTGCAATAACCTTCTCTTGAACAAGCTTGCAGGCGCCAAAGAATAGCTATAAAGCTTGATTCAAATGTTTTTATAGAGAAAAGTTCTATAAACTGGGTGGCCCTCGCTGGGTTTATCTTTCAGAATAAAAAACTAGGCAGCAGCGTCTTCTATATGTCTAAAATAATTATTTCCTACTGAAGAGTACGAAACCTACATAAGAAAAATTCCAAGGTGACGCAGTTCTTATAAATTAACTGGACCTCAATCACGTGGGTCTTTTCTATCGCCATTTAAAACCCTTATAGTTTTATATTGGTTGCATAATGGCATGCGTAAAATATTTTATTCAGGCTTTTGGGCAGGTTCCGGTCTAACTTGCGACAGCAATGCACTAGACAGATTTCATGAAATTCTTTCTTTTTAGTGAAGTATGCCTATGCAAATAGCAATGATTTGATGACTTTACAACACATCGGTATTTCGTTTGTTTCTTTTATCACGCCAGTGCTTAGCAACACTTGTATATCCAAATCTCACAAAGTTGTTTATGAACGCCTCAAAAAGACATATAGGTTTAAAGAGTTGCCAGACATATTGAGGAGTTCATTATATTATTGAGTGTATTAAAGATGGTACTAAAATGAATCAGATGTTTTTTAGTGTTCTAGATCTTGTTGGATCATTTGTTATTTACATATGAGGCACGATATTGTTACTGCTTAGGTTCACTCTTTCCCCAAAAATACATTTGATGGAAATGATAGCCGGACAACTAGAAGCAGATACATTCTCTTAAAATGGCTCAATACAAACTAGTTAATACAGTGGACGTCGGGCATTCTATAGTAGTTCACACAAAAACAGTCTTGCGCACATATAAATTACAAAGCTCCTTTACTATCTAAGTAAAATGCCTCAGATGTGATGAATATTTTACGACTCTTCTCTAAGCAATAACTCGAATCCTACTGATGAAAGAAGCAAAGCTATGATTTGCTATAGATACATTAGGCAAACTTATGAGTACTGTCGGCGTGATTTATTATTGCAAATACATTTCCACAACCTCGGAAGCAAGCGTGATCAGGCGGGTGTTCAAGTACTTTTTTGTGCCTCGAAAATTGTTGGAGGTAGGCAAGCCAGTGAACGCTGTTAGACCTGCACCCACCCACATGTGCTTCTCGTGATTAGTGGAATGCGTGGAGACCTTGATACACTCCATTCTGCTGACGTGTGAAAAAAGGGTATCCGCCAGAAGGGCAGACGTATGAACCAGAGACTCATGGAGCACCGCTATAATGTGACGAAACAGATGCCAGCACACACTCGACACTCTGATGGAAGCGCCGGTTTCATCCCACCATTAAAGATAGTTCGCTGGGCGAATGGTGCTGTGATACGACAGTGCATGGAAAAGTGAAGCTCGCTTAACTAACAAATATATGTCATCGTGCGTTGTTGCTCCTTGTATCTGTTATACACGAAATGGTATGCATTATTCAGGATTACAACGGATGCGCGTGTTATTAACTGGAGCACGTGAGGCAGTGGCGATTTATTTGCGGAAAACTTAATTTCCTTTCCTGTTTCGGTTAATAGATTGTGGGAAAGTGATAATTTTCTGTCGACATGCAAACTGATTCATAAATAGGCCCTTAGTTTAAGGGAGAATCATGTGTTAAGTCATCTTTTTTTTCAGATTTGTGCTGTTATACTTTTGAGCAGCAAATGAACTTTATTATTCGTTAACCCACGGGCAACTGGCCAACACATAGTGGTTCGCTAATTATTAAAACCTTCCTCGCGTGAACCTACCTAAATTGTTTCTATTACGTACACGTTTTGCTCATCTCTAATGAAATTATGCTAGTGCATATTAGCACTATAGCGTCAGTGAAGTAAGAATGACTCACCAATTCCCAGTTGAGGAGCCGATCCACATCATCTTAGTCATTAACCGAGCACTGTGGTTCCACGTTACTCGATATTCTTTAATGCAATTTATATCAGGATACTCCATCGTAGATAAGTTTAGGTAGATGACCTTGGAGTGCATAAACTGCAGCAAGTAACATATTATGAGTAACAACTCATAGAATGATCATAAGCGAACACTAAAGGTTTATTCACATCACTCTATCTTCTCACCTACAGACAATTTAAGGTCAAAAGCATTGTACCCTAGAAAGCTTCCGGTCACCTCATTTACTGGCTTCTAACGTAGAAACTGAAAGCACGTTTTCAAGTTCTTTTTATTTGTAAGAAGCTTCTCTCTTTAGTTTTTCAGATAAAATTAACGTGCGTAAAGTTCAAGAGAATCACTTATAATTTTTATATACTTCGAAAGAACATTTTTTGGATATATTTTGCAAAATATGAAAAAAATTACACAAACTTATCAGGCTATTTTCTAAAGCTCTTTGTGCCCACAGATGCTAGTACGCAACTTACGCAAGTGTTTGTGTTCGAATACCTAGTTACCCGCCATCAGAAGCAAATGCTGCGAACTGGGTTTGATACATAAAATAGATTTTGAAGCGTAAGTTATTCTTACATAGTATAAACACTATCACACACATCTCTACGTTGCAGTATTCTCTCCATCTGCGAAATATTGCGCGTGAGGCGAAAACTACCTGGCATAGACCCATTGCAAAAACGACAGCAACACTGGGTGGCGGCATCCATGGTAAAGCAGGAAACGACAACAAAAAGCGTGCGTCCACTGGGCTTCGTTCTTCGATATGGAAGCTGCGTCCGATGCGATTCTACGCTGAAGTTGTTGCTGTGGTCGTATTGATCCGCCGTCAACTTGCTTCGGTAAACCTCAACTAGCCCTTTCCGTTTATAGGCGGTAAGCTAGAAAGATCACTTTCCCGCCCGGTCGTGGGAAAAACAGTCGCATGGAAAGCCACTGCAATAACGAAGACGAAATAGACAAGAACGAAGCCCGGCGGACGAACGCTTATTGTTGTCGTTTCTTCTTTTACCATACCATGGACGCCGCCGCCTAGCATTGCCATCGTTTTTGCAAGGGGTCTTTAAATCATGGATATCTCCGTTTGCCCATACTGGCAGTTCTTTTTTTAAAATGCGAATGCATTTCTTAGTCGGGCTATGTCAGGCATCCATAAGCATCTGTCACTGCCCTCTGCCATATCAACAGCTGTGGGTGCGCCTGTCCCTAGCAACCGGAGTCCCACCATGTCAAGCTTCGGTGTCGGCAGCTGTCAGCAACAGCTGCGGTGCGCGCGCTTATCCTCGCCCCTAGCAACCGGAGCCCCCACCTCCTCGAGTTGAACGTGACTTGCCACCACCTAAAAGCAGTGCGTGTGAAACGCATTTATAGCGTTTGTCCTGCCAGACTTTGTGTAGCGTCTGTAACTGCACACTAGCTACTAGAGCTAAAAACGCATACCGTGTTTCTCACGAAAGGAAAACATAACATGCGGCGAACGGCACTATTGGCTGCACGGTGTAAGAAGAAAAAAGAAGTCATCACACATCTAATGCTGGTTCTCACGTGCGAAACGCCATTATGAACGCTACGCAATTCATTCATGTTCACAATTTCCCTCGGAGAGGTGGTGATTGACTGATTGATTGATTAAAACTTTATTTTTGGGCTGAGAAGACACAGGGGAGAACCCGTGCCACCCGGCTAACACATGATTGAATGTGGCTAACAGTCCACAAGCGGGGCAATCTGCACTTGGAGACCGTTCAGGGTAGATGGCATGAAGAACCTCAGGGTTAGGATACGCACTGCCCTACTGAAACGTTGCGTATGAAATCTTACGGAAAATATATGGACTCCGTAACATTTCCTTATGCTACATACGGAAAAAATATGGAGTTTTATGGAAATATACGGAAGTTGTATGGCATATACGGAAGGCTTGTTATGGAGTATATGGAATGATAAGGAAATTGTATGGCGTATACGGAAAGGTTTTCATAGAGTATTCGGAAAGATAAGGAAAATGTATGTCATATATAGAACGCTTTTTATGGACTATACGGAAGGATAAGGAAGTTTTATGGCGTGGATGGAGTGAGTTTTATGGAAAATATGGAAAGATAAGGAAATTTATGGAGCATATGGAGAGTTCATTATAGAAGATATGAAAGGATAAGGAAAGTGTATGGAGTGTACCGAAGCTTTCATAAGGAAAATGTGGAACGTAAGGTCTTACGAAAATATACAGATATTGAAAGGTGCTTACGACAATGTGCAATAGTGTATGAAAGTCATGTGGATTCTTGCAAAAATGTGGAAAATCTACATTCGTTGTCACACTTTCAGCAGGAAATCCGAGCTCTATAAAGTTATAAATGTAAGCACAATGCTATATATAGTACAAAAGAATAACGCAGGCTAGTCTGTGTTGTCAGTCACCACTGTTCACCCCTTTCCTGAATGTATACAACTTCTGCAGATGACCAGGTTCTAAAGTCTTACGAAAATATACAGATATTGAAAGGTGCTTACGACAATGTGCAATAGTGTATGAAAGTCATGTGGATTCTTGCAAAAATGTGGAAAATCTACATTCGTTGTCACACTTTCAGCAGGAAATCCGAGCTCTATATAGTTATAAATGTAAGCACAATGCTATATATAGTACAAAAGAATAACGCAGGCTAGTCTGTGTTGTCAGTCACCGCTGTTCACCCCTTTCCTGAATGTATACAACTTCTGCAGATGACCAGGTTCTAAAGTCTGTCACACGAAAAATGTGTCATTCACAAGGAATGAAAATAACTGTCAATTCACTTGAATGCTGTCACACGAAAACAAATCAAACAAAAAAGCATAACTTCAAGGGCTCGTTTTTTTTGGTAGAAACAATATAATCAGAACTAAATCCAATGCGAATAAACTTGTCAATATTATTGAAACTGTTCTCATTAACATTGGCAAAGAGAAATGTCATTTTAAAATATCGACCATGAGCTTAGCCCTTCTGAGCATCGACAAAAGAAATGAAAATCTATAAAAACTAATTGCATGTAGCCTAAAAATATTTTTTTATTGATAGAATGTGCTCCTACAATATAAATACAGCTATACACAAGTTGCCACAGCTTCACGTCAGAAACGAGGTAGGGGTTGAGGGAGCGGTCAGAAAATTAATTAAGTATGATAGCACAACTGATATGTACGGACACATATTGGTGTTTATCATTGATGCTCGGATTGTCGTGTATAGAGCTGGGTCGTTTTGAGATATTCAAAAGCATTGTTTCAGACCACCATGCAGATTACGCTTCAATTCTAGTGCTACATAAGACACAACTTATGGGCCAGCTTTAATGAATAAGAAGATTCAGGTATACGCTTCAGCTCTACATGGATGCTTCAACTGTGCTGCAAAGAAATTTAACCAATGTGGGCAACATTGTCCATTTTAAACTATCTTTATGTATGTCTAAAATACCTACTGCGAGTTAAGCTATGTTGCACTCCATAACTCTTCCTTTTATTAAGGAATATTTTTCAAACAATCAACATTATTCAGTTTCTGTCTCACGAATTCAGGCCCGCCATTCTCGGTTTGGCTCGATCACAATTGTGCAGCCCTTATTTTGGAGGAATAAAAAACATCAACCAAAATATATGTTGGAACTGCTTCTCGGTGATATTGCCTTCCCTCAACTGCCACAGCTTGAGATGAGTCATAGCAAGTGTCGCGCATACCTAGAGCCTACCCTTGAAAAGCTGGTCCGGCTGTGAAATGCTCAGTTTTTTTCTCAAATAAATTTTTTTGGTTTGACTTTTCTCCCTTCTCGAGTCCCTTCACATTCAAGCAGACCCAATGTTCCCCTTAGTCCTTAATTTTGTTATATTATGAAATAAATAAAAATAGTAATTATGAAAACAAAAATACTAATAACTGTTGTGCAAAAAACACAGTCGCACATACGTACTTGAACGCAATATTGCTTTCATTTTGTTTTAGTACGTAACGCATTAGAAAAGATAGCAGTACATAAAAACATTGAAAAAAATAAAAAATTGAGCCTTGGTGCGATTCGAACCTGTGCCACTCAGATGTGCTCGTGTACGTGAACTGAGTGCGTTAGCTTGCTGAACTATTCGCGTTTAGGTGCACGAGCGTTTAAGTTATATATATAAATTTGCTGTTTACACGCTATGTGTTGGCATATTTATGTACGATAAGCGATCGTATCTATTGTTGTGTGCATATGTTTTGTGATTGTATATACGTCACATGCTTTTCGCATGTCTTTCAACTATAGATTTCCGCCCCGTCGCGGACGAAAAAAGTATTTTTACACCCACACACAAGCTTGAGCTGTTGAAGGTTGTCTCCCAGGGCTCTCTTGCGATTGAGTCGGCCACCACAAGAAATTAGAGTAATACGAAATTAATCCCTGCATCTAGCTGTATTCCACTTAGTAGCTCCCTCGCTTGATGACAAATCGAGCGCGGGGCGTGACGCTATTGCGCACGACCATGCCTCGCGTAGCGGCGACATCAGCTGATTACGCCGGCCAGCTTGCTTCGTTTTGCTTCAGAGCAAAGAAATGTCATACCTTAAAAGATTGAGTACTGCACTATGTCAAAATGTTACTGCTTTGTAGTCATCCTATGATTTATTGAGAATTGATAACTCTGATATGACTACAAAGGAGCTTTGCGTCGGCGACACGCACCGAACGTAAAACCGCACTACGTCTGTCGTAGAAGCAGTAGGAGGCTGTCGTCTGCTAGAACAAAAACAAAAGAAAGACCTGCGAAAATATTCATAATTTGTAACTTGTTTTTTAATAACCTTTTATCAATTTTAAAGTTATTTTGCCAGGTAACATACATTGTTCTTTCCAGTTTATAGCAACGACAGATATTTTTTTTATTTTCCTCACACAGATATCCAAGTCAAATTCATTCACAGCTAAAGCCACATGTTGTTCGTCTTCTTTGTTTCCGTGGGCATGCCATGCCGTTTTGGTGCATCTATCCATGTGTTCTCGCTGCTGCACACGAGAGCACAAATTGTTAAATTTACGCAAAGAACCGCCGTTCCTCGTTCGTGTGATGTGCAAAGATTGCGCCTTATTCCCGCGGTTGTTCGAGTGCGGATCAAGTGCGAGTCGTCCAAGGAATGGGCGGGTTGTGCGGGCGCTCGAAGGACTACGAGGTGACGGCTGGCGCCTGTGGTTGCTTCCCTCAGGACAGTGTGAAAGAAACTAAAGGTAAGGGGGACACTTTTTTATGTAGACTAAGTATGCCACTCAGTGCAAGTGTGTGTTGCCGCACTCGAACGAGGCGTCGTGAAACGGCAGCCTTACGCGCCTTTGCGATTGCGGTTGCCGATTCGCTTTGACAACGCTAACGCCAGCAGAGCCATGGCGCATCGGCGCGGCCTTACTGGAGCTAATTCGCGACAAATGCGGCAACATGCATGTGTATGGTGATCCATTGTTTCATAAGTACAATGTAGTAAGGAGGACGCACACAGCGCTTGCTACGTTGTTGATTAAACGAAGCCTGCGGTGCCATTTGATGCAAAGCAGCATTTTCTTCACGTTCGCGGGCGATACAATTTCTACCTTGGCTCAATTCACCTAGCCAACCGCCTTAGTGGATTGATAAGCATACGTTCACAGTGGAGCGTTATTATGCCCCTAAACAGTGGCGTATGCTTGTTAAAAGATATAATGTGTGTGCCTAGTGTAGAGAGAGAGAGGTGTTCGTGAAATATTAATGTGTACCTGCAAGACGCCTTTGCTTGTAACTAATAGTGTACCGGCCAGCGCCTACATTGTATGCCTGACTTTGAAGAAAACTTGCATGCAAAATGTGAGATTTTGTAATCTGCTAGAGTTTCTTTTTATAAACTAATACATTGCCAGCATGTTTAAAATATGTTTCGCTGCTGTGTGGCAGGGGTGCGGTTATCACGCTGTTGTGTAGTTGCTGCTGCAAGCACTTATAGTTTTGATGCGTTGATATTTCTCATCTAACTCATCAGGTGTTTGGCTGTTACAGCACAAACAAGGCAAAGAGAGAAGGAAGACTGGTAATGACAGGACCAGTGCAGTCTTTTGTTTGCAGGAGAATACGCATGTTGGTGTATTTATTGTGACAGCCTTTCTGTGTTGCTTTTTTGGCCAATTTATGCAACGACACAGTTGTCAGCAATATGAGAGAGAACAATGAAATTAGCTTTTAAAAATCATGATGACTAAAAGCCTAGTAATTCACAGCATAATGTAAGAACAAAAGACATCAGTATGATCAATGTGGGACGAGTGCAGTCTGTCATCTAAAAAATATATTGTGAAACATGTTGCCTAAGTAAGAAACCTCTCTATGTTTGCGAACCGTATGACATCACTTCGAGCACTGTGCCAGTCATTCCCTTCCTCAGTGCAAGGACTGGTGGAAAAGGAAGTTGTTGGTGACGTTCCTGATAGCCCACTGATATGTATGCGATTCCAAACCTGTAGCCTAATACGTACATAATCTTTTGTTCAGTTACATCGCTGCATCTGACACCTACAACTTATTTGCATATTTACACTGCCATCTTAGGACCTAACACACAAACTTGTAGTGTGCATAGTCACTTCATGAATATCGAGCGGTAAAGGTACTGAGTATATTTGAAACAAGAATCTCTGCTTATTACATGAAGACATATGAGGCCTTCAATAAAACAAGTTATACCTTTATTGGGCTTGCGTACACGTCAGGGCGATGCATACAGGCAGCTTCAGCAAATGGTATCTTCCAACCCAGTGACCATGCAATTTATTTTCTGCACACAGCGCAAACACCGAGATGTACTCACTCGCAGATAATCGCGTCAAGTGCATATTTACCTTGACTAAAATATCGAGTCAAGTTTTTTCATCGACCGGTCCCTGCCATGAGTGCTAACGTCTTCGCACACAAGACACATTGTTATTCACACTGCACACACCTCACACAGTATTCTCAGTTGAACCGATATTCTCAATACCTTTCAATGCACTCTACATGCCGCAATTACAGTGCACATTTTTGAAGACTATGCCGGTGTTCCTCGCACAGGCGACCACGTGTGTTCACTTCTTCAAGATAAACAGACAGCATGGCAAAAATTTTACCACACAGTTTACGCACAGCTAGATGTTTGCTGACACATACTACAGCTAATGTCGACATTCTAACGTGAATTGTAAGCTTTGAAAAATTAAAACTTGCCCCAAACACCGCACGACTGTACCGGGCTGAGCCACTTGCGGGAGTGTTTTTCCAGCCACACCTTTTACGTGTGCCAGTGACATCATGCTGTGACGTACCTCGGTAGGGGCCTATCGCTGCATACTTTATGTGAATGAGGGTCTTGTTGGAGAATGCAGGCATTGTTGATTTCGTAACTTGTTCATTTACAGCTGGATCTTCATTTACACGAGTTGTCTGACTGATATTCAGGCGAACTTTTGTGCAATAAATTGTACAGTTGACAGTCTGTGCTTGCCCCATACTGTTGTTACTTGTGTTTCTCGTTACTTTGCACTGTTCATTACTGCTCACCTTCAGAAACTAGCCTAGCTTGCCGCTGTTTTGGACAAGATGCAGCTGGCAAGTGCGATAGTGTTCATAACTCTAAATTCTCAAGCAAAAATTATCGTTTCATATTCAGTTAGTTGCATTCATATCAGTACATTATAAGAAATCATTGATTAAACATGAATCCGTGTTCTTTCACATAATGCTTACAACTTTAAATATCCCATTGAATAGTGTTTTTAAAAGACATAAGTTTTAGCTAAACTTCATGCTGTTTTTTTGAACAGCTGACAAAACGCTATTGCATGCTTACTTGCCATTGGATTGTGTTTGAAATACATTGCACTTCTTCACCGGACTGCCAGTAACACTTCAGATTGGGGAACATTTATTAACCATGGATTGATTAATTTTTAAAAACGGAAAGAAAGAAGCGGCAGGCCGGGATACTTACTTGATATTGGCATTCGTTTTGCTACCCAGCACATTATCATGCAAACTTCCAATTGAGTGGTTATGCGTCTTGCATGTGTGTCTGTAAACCAAGAACTTTGGGTAGAACTATATTTGTCTTAAAAATGGTTGCAGGACAGTGGAGGCTGTAGGGCTGCTTAGCCAATATGAATGGTGGAATCCCTGGACATGTGTTCAACCATGCTGCATCAGCTGCTTGGTGTTTTCACCGCATCTTTAGAGATGTGTTGGGTGAGTAAAGCAAGCAGGTTTCAACACAGGCAAAAATATAATATGGCAGCACCTCTTGTGCATGCCTTCCATCCCAAGTATATCAAATATTTATCTTGCACCTTGTGGCATGTAATTTTTAAAGAGACACTTCTTTTTGCTTTATATTTCAGTCTAGATGATTCGAAAGCAATGTATTTGTGTTCGACAGCAAGTGTTCTGCAACAAATAACTGATCTCAATAATGACAAAACACCCTTCATACTTGGCCCTTAGCATAAGCTTGCACATATCTATAGCAGATTCAATTGTTCACTTTTTGCTGTGATGATAATGGGCAAGTACTAAAGGCAAGTTCAGATTAGAGTGGTCGGTGACGTCTGTTTAGGCTGTGCCGTATTGCTTTGCAACCAGAGTTACTTGTGGCCACATATACAATGAAGCCATAGGACGTGCATTCTGAATGAGATCATATCACATTTCACTGCATCTTAATATGTGTCGAACAAATGCATATATCTTTAGCTTTCCACTCTAAAGGAATCCTAAACCAACACAGGGTTGAAATTAAGTCGTGGAGTTGCAGCTGTGTATGAGTCTGCAATAGATGCATAGCCAAGATAATTTTTCTATATTTTGTCACAATAGTAATGTTACACACATTGGCCGATACAAAAGAGGTCCTCGCTTATTCCGATTTTTTTCGTTATGCTTCTTTCTTGTCTCTTCTTGCCATGTGCTCCTCCCCACTGTACAAGGAGCAAGAGCAGTGGGCCCACAAACACGTATTTAAAAAAAATGTTGTAAGGTGAGCACTGAGGGGTTGAATACTTCCAAAAACCTCAAAGAGGAAAAGGTATTGTTTCTAGCTACGTTTTGGGCACCCATAGCTAGTTGTGCTGCTGCAGTTATCATTGTTGATCAGGACACTATTTTGAAGTCGTTGCACACATTTGCTTCAAATGCTAAAAAGTAATTGGAGGTGGTTTGGCACCCTTTATTGCAATTACATACAGAACTACGTTTCAATGTGTAAGCAAAATCTGTTCACTCTAATTCAATCCTAATGATATCTGAAATTCAGGAAATATTCACAGAAAAGCTCAGGAAAAGGCTAAGTGGTTCCCCTTGAACGTGAAGAAGATATCCTTCTTCTAAAAGGTCAATAGACTGTCTAGTAGTCTCGATATTACATGCACTATAAGATATTCTGGTGGGGTGCTTTTCATGCATGCTATAATGAGAGGGATTTTTAATGGAACTGTTGTCACTTTGCCCTGTGTTGCTGAAATTGTTCACATAGTTATAATACATGAATAACTTTATGCCTTTTGATTTTATGCAAATGGTTTACTTAACCAGTCAGTATAACATGATTTGAATAAAGTCATAAATGCTCTCAATTTTTTTACTATACAGCAGGTTTATTTTTAAATTACGCGACCATAGATGTGAACGCAGTTGGTGGGGTGCTTGATTAATGCTTCTTTATCACCACTCTAACTACACCGGCTACAGTGCATAGTGCGACAAAAATAATGGTCCTTAACATTAATAACTTGCAGCATACACGTTTATGTCTCAAAATGTGTTAGAAAGCCTGGTAAAAATTTGTGTACTTTTTTTTGCTCCAACTAAATATTCTGGTGTACTCAAAGCAGCTTCCACTCGTTTACGGTCCTCAAACTATTTGGTGTTCAAAAGGTGTATCAATGCCATATCCTTCCTTTCTCGGCCTACTCACCACTCTAATATTGAAAATTACACGACAACATTACCCAGGAATATATATGGGGATGTTATAAAAAGTAATGTCAATTCAATTGTCAAAAACGTGAACCCATTAGTAACTTGTCGCCAAGTTACGTTTTCGTTCACTTTTGTTTTCACAATTTTTTTAAAGTTATTTTTGATAACATCCCCTACTGTTTGTTTGATATCATTGTCTGTTAGTTCTCATTATAATGTGTTCAGCATAGAGAATAAACCCTTAAATTTGTAGTTCTTTCCTTTACTCATGAATCTGGAACAGTGAATATCAGTAATCTTAGCGGTATGTCACTTCTTTTTTTTTATCAGTTGTGCGTGTGTTCGTGTACGTGCATTTAGGTGGGAGGGCGAACCATTGAAACTTCCTATGACAAGCAGATTTTCTGAGAACTAACAGTTGCATAATGCTGCCAAAGAAGTATAGAGATAGTGGAAGTAATCGTAATGTGATTGCCAGTAGGCAAAAAAGGTGTCCCACACGCGCCATAATGGTAACAGGCAGCGCTGACTGACTCTTTCATGAGTAAATCACATATACACCGTACAAAATGGAAGGGGGATAGCAGCCATGGTAGCTCAGTTGATCAAGCATCGGACATGTTCATTGAAGTTCGCGGGCTCTGTCCCTGTCCAGGGCAAGTTATCTTTTTTCCTTCTACTTTTCTTTCTTCACAATTACAACACTTCTATTCTTCTCGCAGAATTTCTGGTTTAAAAAGGAACCTTATATTCTGAAGAGGCGAACAGAATTTGCCAGTGTATGGGTAAGCTCTTGTAGTGGTTACAAGTAAGATATGTTTTTAAGAATAAATCATTCTGCCACTTGACTAAAGAATGACTATAGGACATGGTGCTGGATGCACTTTGTTATTTTTGAATCGAGCTATTTTGAATTCTATTTTTATAAATTACATGGGCTACTCATGACGGTATCACACACTTTATTGCCACAAAGAATATGCAGCGAACAATGTTATAAATGCGAAATTGCATTAGGATAAGGTTAAAACTGCACCCCCAGCGAGAATGTACAGGGAGCAGAAGAAGCAGGCGTCATTCCTTCTGCCCGTGCTTTTCAAGTGCGAGCTGTTTTCACCTCGTTCTGATCAACTAACTAGATTGAGATGTGTTGTTATAGTGCATAAGGATGCTCCACGGGAAACTAGGCTTGTCTCAAACTCTGTGTGTCATTCAACCTTTATGGTACCATGTTCAAAAGTTCATGCAGACCAGATCGTGTAAAGCAGGACACCCGTTTAACTTAATAACATGGCTTAAGTCATAAAGCAGTTAGTGGGACCGAATGTCAATTTTTATAGTAGCTGTTTTTCTCTGCAATAGAAACCTTACTGGTCTGATCGTATAAACATGCAGCGAAAGAAGAGAATTTTTGAGGCTTGTTTCTTTTTGTTTGACATGGCTTTCATGAGTACATCTAGTGGTAACACAGAAAGTGCTGGAAACATTTTAAGAATTTTTGGGTCCATGACTGCTATGAAGTGTCACACAACACAGGCACCAAACAGTGGGAGGTCAGCATAACAGCTTCATTTGTTTGTGCATTGCAGTTTGCTGCGAAAGCATGCATTTCATGGGCGTGTGAAATGCGCATATTTCGCACTGTTTGCCACGATGACAGTTCTGCTTTTTGAGGGTTGACTCCTCTGCGTAGGCAGCACAGAATAATGTTGGCACAGGTAATATGGATATATGCAGTAACTTTGACCACTAATCTTTTTGCATGTTAAAGCATCAAATAATTTGCAGTAAACAAACAGGCTGCATGACATACTAATTTTTAAGCTTTTTAAGTGCCATCTTAAAAGAAATGCCACTCAAGTTGCAAAAAGAATGCAGTTCAATTCACATTTTTGATTTCCACCTCCAATCACACATTCTAGCGACTTGTCAGTCTCTTTAATGAAGAAATCTTAATCAAAATTTTTAGCTGAATGGGTTGGTACTGATGTTGAATTTTGTGCACTGCTCATAAGTAGAACGATAGATTTGTGCCCTACCCTTCAGTACTGCCTGAAATTGATGCGGCAATCTTTGAATATTTTTAGTATCGTTGGACGATCAGTGTCAGCTTAAGCTATGTCATGAAAGCGGCCCACAGCGTCCAGCTAATGTTGTTTTTGTGTGCAACTGTAGTTGTGGTTGTGCTGAATGACCTTTCTTTATATACACTACATATCAAACTTACTCCTTTAGAGTCAAGTGCATCTTCGGATCGATTGTAAATGTTTTCATATGTGAGGCCTTAAGTTTAATAAGAAGTTCCTCAGTGTGCCACGAATTGTGTGTTTAGCAAAAATTTGTATATCATTATATACAACTCTTAAAGCCTCGTCTACACTTTGTGCAGGTTGACCTTGAGCAGAAAACGAGGAGCGGCAGCAGCCCCCAGAAAAGAGCAAGCACCCTCCAAGCTCCCCAAGCTCTCCTCGACAGGAACAGCAAAGTCACTGGGTGGCATTGAAAACCATTGCAAGGAGTGCCTTATCAGGAATCTGTGCTGCTCTTTCGTCGCAGAACACGAAGTTGACCACTCCAGAGGAACTTCACGCTGTGTATTGTGAGTGCGTCAGTGGTTTTGTTTTGTCCAGCCAGCAGCCAAGAAATCATGTGTCAGATTCAGCCGGGATGGCTAGAGGGAGTCGGGCAGGCGCGTTTGGAAATTTGTCAAGCCAAGTAGTGCCAATTTTCGCACTGGTCCTGTTGAAGTTACTGCCACAAACGACAGAAGCTTTGTTAGCTCGCTAAATGCACAGATGTGTCGGGGAAGATTAGCTTCATTAGTTGTTTCTATAACTGATAGCTGCCAACATTCTTCATTGTACAGGAGTTTTGTTTCTCACTTATAGGTGTAAAGCCCTCCACAGAAAAAATGCTACACGTCTACTTACAGAAGGCCCCAAGGCCCTACTTGTAGGTTTTTTGGCTTGTATGATAAGCACCTCATTGGGGTGTACATGAACAATATATAAACATGTACAGTAAAAAGTTTAGGTGGCTGGTCATTTTG